ACTACAGAAATTAATCAAATGTAAAATAACACATGCAGTGTTATTTTACATTTGATTACTTTAATTTCTGTAGTATTTCTTACCTGAATAAATACTTACTTAACCTGAAAAACTTAGTTTCATAGCTCGCTTTATTGTATTGCATTTATTTGTGCTGTTGTTTGCAATTTTTTTTATTTGTTCTTATTTTATTACTGACTTTTTACTTGTGTTTTTTTATGAAAATAAAACTTTGCGTTGAAGAAAAGTAGATTTTTGTTTGTATATGCTGTCAATTATAGCTCTTAGAAAGAAAATAGGAATCGGCAAAAATCGGTATCGGCAGATCACACTAACAAAAAATCGGAAATGGCCAAGAAAATTGCAATCGGTGCATCTCTAGAATTCACAAATGAAAATTACAGGTTATTTTCCATTTGTATTTTGTAACTTTATGGGCGCAAACCGAAAATCAAGATTATTCAGAGCAAATGTGGAGAGCCATTCACACAAAATGTATTTTTGTATCTAAAAATGTAAGATGTAGGGCAGTGTAACGGGTAGAAACAATTTATATACCCTCTTATCACTGCAAAACCAGTTTAGTTTTGGTTTGAGGCATGAAATCAAAATCAAACAAAACCCTAAATCAATTGTTTTTTTTGTTTTCTGAGGAAAAAAAAATTTTCTTTGGAAGATATTGGCATCATTTATATACCCTCTTGTCATTGCAATGTGTTTGGAAAATCATGCAATAATGTTCTATTTACGAGTTTGGAAAATCATGCAATCATGTTCTATTTCATCAACCAACAAGACTTTCTTGGTCAACCAGCATCAGACTAGCACCTAACCAAAGTCATACGCTGATGTTTTCAGCAGAATTCGTGACATACATGGTGTTTACAGCACGGGACGTCCTGCGGAGCACATGCTCTCGCCACGCGCACTCATGCTGTTGTTCAGAGCACATGCCGTGTGACGCGGTCCCGCCCCCTGCGCTGGCCCCTGGGGGTTCGTTCTATCAGTGATCATCCGGCCCACTAATGACTCAGCAACCTCCAAACAGACTAACATCACTTCCTCTCCGGCCGTCTCTCTGCCCCTTCCTCATCCCTCACATGCATGCATGTTAAATTCCTGTTCTTGTAATACTTCCATCATTCTGCCTTCATTTCATCCTCACTGCACTATTTCTCCCATCTTTAAACCTCTACATACTCACGCAGCCACTTCATTGTTCTCATACTTTTAACCCATTTCCTGTTTCATGCCATTAGCTTATTCATTTCACTCACTTATCTTTTCCTCTCTCCTAATACTCTGCATTTGTAGTCTTAACTACCCTGGTAATGCTCTTTCTGGGCTTAAATATAAGTCTTAAATAGGATTTAGGCCTAAATTAACAGCATAATCCATAATATAGTTATTTTATGTAAATCAACCTCAAATTGT